TCTTGTATGCATGTCTCCGAAACGCAACACACCCGTGGCTGGAGATGCCAGAGTTCTTGCTATTGATGCCTGTTGTCCTATTTGGCAGAGGGTCCTGAAGTTGAATGCTCCTACATGAAGTTAGCGACATAGATTTAAAAAAATATCTGGGGTGTTTCTATGGCTCTCACCGTTGTTTGTGGTCACAGAGAGAAGTGAATATTACTCACTAGCCTGAAGAATAGTGCCGACTGTAGTAAGGAAGTAAGATGATGAGGGTGACGTGGATTAAAGAGAATGATGCTCAGGATGGCTTCGTGTGCTTTTGGAAGTGTGTGGGCGATTGTTTTTTACCGGCTACCCAAACCGAGGAAGTTGATTGATTCTTCGGGTGCCTGAAATAGGACGAGGGGTAGTGTTGTGTGTTCAGAGAGCCTAGGGTACAAGTGCTTGATGCTGGCCAGTCACACAATGCATGTATGAACTGGTTTCTCTAAGTGGTTCCGTCTTAGTAAACTTATCGCAGGGTATGGAACACCATAGGTGGGGTAAGTCGGAATGTACAATTGCTGGGGTCGACCTTTTCTAACCTCCTCTCTCCGGAGTGGAGAGACAGCACAGTTGGCTGGCATGCTGGTTATCTGAGGGAAACACCTTACTGCCGTGACATCCCTGTTCCCCAGCAGTAGGACTTCGCCAACAGACCCCCAGCATAGTGTGAAAAAGAAACATTCTTACACAATTCCAGTAACTGCTTTTAGTCTAATCGCTATCCTAACAACCTTCCTGGCATAGCAGGACTTGGAGTAACAATAATTCTAGCCAGTGTAGCTTGTTTGATCATTGCGATATGCAAACCCGACCACTACCTCAAGGTAGCAGATATCGGTCGCGATTTTATGATATATACATATATATATACAGTCGACAAAATACAGGTTTCGAGAGTGAGTGTAATCAGGGTGTGTGAGAAAATATGAATAATACAGAAAATAAACCAACGAATGGGATAGACTAGACTTAAGTTCAAAGGCGTAAATAACGACAATAAGAATGATTGTAAAATAGTAACGATGATGTAGTGTAAACTTAAAAGTACTTTTGGTGAATGGTTGTCAAGCGAAGAAACATTTGTATCTCAAGTTTAGTTTCAAAGGGGAAATTGCAGCTGACATTCTAAAATGTCGACTTAACAAAGCAGCAAACAGAACATTGCCTACAGCTAAATTGGTACTCAAATAAAACAGTACTCACAAAACGAGTCAAAGATGAACTCATCAGTGTGTGTGTGTGTGTCTATGAATTCAACTGCTCATTTGGAGCTAGTTACATTGGCCGTACTCAGAAGGCATTATCCATATATGCACACGTGAACATGTACCTGTGTGGTCGAGTTAAAGAGTATCCAAACTCGTGAGAAAAGTACAGTCTTAGCTGACTTGGTAGATACTGGACATTCGATAAAACATGACCAAGTGTTCTCAGTTATTTACCGCGTTCCTGGTAATCTATCTAGAGGAGCTCGACTACGTCTTCTATCGGCAGCTGAAGCGGTAGCAGTCAATACCAGAAGACGTGATCTCTCTATACAGAAGAAGTATGTTCAACCGCCATGTTTACCTTGGCCTACAATAAGATCGACGAATACTCCATAAACATTAGCACTTTAAATTCCTACCGCAAATTTTTCTTTTCTTCTTCTTCCATTCCTCTGTTTCATTGACAAACCTTCATTTTTGACTTTTTATGATTTCATGGCCTTTCTTATGATTTTTATTATTCGTTAGGTTTAAGTAATACTTTTCTAACTTGTTAGTGTATTTACAAAATCCTGTTCATCATTTCACTTCACTAAATTTATTATTATGATGGTTATTTGACAATCATTCACCAATAGCACTTTTAAGTTTACACCACATCATCGTTACTATTTTACAATCATTAATATTGTCACCATTTTCACCCTTGAATTTGCGTCTAGTCTCTCTCTCTCTCTCTCTCTCTCTCTATATATATATATATATATATATATATATCGTACAGTATCACTTGTGTTCTACATTGATGAACGCTGCTAATCGATATTTCTGTTGTAAAAGTTGGTCAATGTTATATCTGGTGAAGATGTCGTCAGAAAACTAAATGTCGTATCAACCAGTAGCCAAATTCCAGCACAAAGTTAACCGCTAAGCTCTAGTTTAATGTTTGAAACCGTCTGTAGTCGACAATGTCCTCTCCCACCCCCCTCACTAACTCTTTGTTTCAGTGAGTACACTTGGAATAGATGATTCAGTTGAGAAACAGTTTTCATATTTCTTTCAAAATCACTAATGTATTCATATTGATTTTTACGCACACAGTTTAAAAATATACCACTTTTAGTTTACAATTCATATTCTGTCTATTAATCATGCTGGTGGTATATATATATATATATATATATATATTTGTAACCTTGGTGAAATGTATATACAATAGAACAACACTGTGATGTATGACCATTACTGGAAACATGGTTTCACAAGCAATCCGGAGAAATCTGTTTCCTTACAACCACTTTACAACTAACATGGTTAACCTACCATTCAAGGGCGACCAGATTATGCAGTTGACAGCTAGCTAAAAGACTTCGGTCAGCCATCAAACGCACATTCTACGCCGCCACATCCCTTTTTCTCATTTGCCGGGCATTTTCGATTCCTGTTCCGGCACTCTACTCGTACTCATACAGCCAGGTGAGGGCTTACGGCGAGTTGTCATCTGAAGTGGTGACGACTAGTGGTGTCCGTCAAGGATGCCCATTATGCCCTTTTCTATTCATCATAGATGTACTAATGGACTTAACCCTAAGTGACTTCAGCGACTCAGGGATTGACTTGCTACCAGGGAACAATCTCGTTGACTTAGAATATGCAGACGATATAGTCCTACTAGGCGAGGACGCTGACAAAATGCAGAGTCTTCTAAACACCTTGAGCCGCAATCTACGAATGTTTGGCATGCGATTCGCTCCCGCCAAATGCAAGATGATGTTACAGGACTGGACTACAACGACAGGAAGTGAAGTGGTAGAGCCCGTTTACCACTTCACCTATTTGGGAAGTATCATCAGCCAACGCCACCGGGTTGATCTCTGACGAAATCTCATCACGAATACAGGGGGCTCGTTTCGCATTTGCCAGTTTACGCCGACTCTGGCGTAGACGAGATGTTCGACTATTGACCAAAGGGCAGGTGTACTCCTCAGAATTCCGCTCCGTCCTCCCGTATGGCTGTAAGACCTGGCCACTGAGAGTGGAAGACATGAAAAGATTAGATGTGTTTGATCATAGGTGCCTGCGCTCTATTTCCCGTGTAAAGTGGCATAATAAGGGGAGCGATATTGAGGTTAGGCATCGAGTTCTAGGTAAACAGGGGAAATCAATCGACGAAGTCGTGAAGTTACAAAGACTGAGATGGTTAGGACATGTGTTACGTATGCCTACCAATTCATCGCCTTCCTCGACGAGCAATGTTAGCGGTCAGGCTAGAAAAGAGCTAGCCAGTGGCGGTCAAACCAAAACATGGCACCAGTCAATGAAATCTACAACAGTTAGTCTAAGCCAGCCACGTAGGAAGGTGTAGACTTCCTTACTGGTTGGGGTCCTCGGGAGGGTAAAAACCAATGGTTGGAAACAATTGGTGACATGGCTCAAAATCGTTCTCAGTGGCGCAGATGCATCCATTCCTTGTAACTTATGATTTCCAATGAAACTGTTTTGTTCTTCGTCATTACTATTCTTTTGTCTCACACCTCTGTTTACTGTCTCTATTATGCATTTCTATTCTTGCATTGTGTGCTACAAGGAGGAAGTGTGGCGACTTGAACTTCCGCACATATGTGTAAAGTTCTATGTCGAAAAGAGACAGACAGATCCCTGTACCTACGATTAAAGGACGAAATTCTGTGGATTTTACTTCAAACTGTATCTACAAGTTCACCTGCAGCTGCGGTCACACCTATATAAGTAGAACCAACAGAATGTTACAATGTCGTCGAAAAGAACATGTTCCAAAATGGCTGCTAAATCATATAGAAAATCCCAATGTGATTAATCTGAGTAGAAATCCAGCATCATATATTGCAAAACATTGTCAAGTCACAAAATCAATATTGCTAATGACTGTTTCACAATTATTTCACATAACTCTAAATCAAGGTTGGTTATTTAAGGTGATGGAAGCACTTTGGATTAATCACATACAGCCTAAACTGTGTACACAAAAAACAGTAGACTACAATCTTCGCCTACCATGGTATCACTACTTGACCTATTTAAATATGATTTAAATCCTGCTTTATTGCTTGTTTCAACAAGAAATATTGGCTGCCGATTTAAGAGCAAGTCGAAAAGATCTAGTGGTGGTTAAAGCAAAAAATGGTCTCATCAGTCGATGGAATTCATAACAGTTAGTGTAAGCTGCCACTCACTCACTCACTCACGTAAAGAGGTTAAACCACCAGTCTGAGTGGAGTCCTCGGGATGGTAAGAACCAATTTGACAGTGATATGGCTCAAAATCTTTGCTGTCAGTAGCTAGCACAGATGCATCCACTCTTTGTATGATTTATCATATCCAATCGAACGCTATTGTTCTTTCATATTACTGTTGTTTTCCCCTACAAACTTGTGTTTATTATCTCTCTTTTGAATCGCTTTTCACTCTCTTCTCTTGCTTTGCATGGTACATGGAGGTAGTGTGGTAACTCAAACTGCTGCACACATGTGCAAGGGTCTATGTTGAGACCATTCAATCAGTCAGTCAGTCAATCTCTAAACAACGATTACAGTCGAACTTATTTTAATGCTTACACTGTCAAATTCTACTATGGAATTCTTGTCATGACACAAGACTGATAGGTTTGATAGCTCTCTTTAATAATCAGTTAGTGACCAGTTTACTTTCCATAATAATAATAATAATAATAATAATAATAATAATAATAATAATAATAAGGAAATCATTTAACTGATGTCTTACCTAACTGAAGATTTCGCATCCATATTGAAGTAGGTGTTCCTTTAAACATTTTTTCCAGGTATACTCCAGCAAAACCACTAGTGACTGAAGCCAGTAAAATTGCTCCGAATCCATATAAGCTAGGCGAAGAAATACCATTTGACTTTGAATCATTCGTTGAAGGTAACTAAAAGAAAGAAATCATAGCACAACGAAATCAACACTTATAAAGTGCTTCATAGATTGTCGGTAGGGCTAGTGATAGTGTGGTTAGAGCAGGCTGCTAGCCAATTGGTAGACATTAATTTACGTCAATGTCTAGGCCACTAATATTGGCCGTGAGAAAATATGAACAAGGCTGATTCAACAACCAATCACAACAAACTTAACGAGGGCAAATAAGATTCGCAAATATATGGCTTAACTTTCCGAGGAACCAGAAACAACCAATCAGAAGACTGTGTTTGTCTGCTTGAATAAGCTATAATAATGTGCATGAAATATATATAAATACATGCTGATTTACGTAATAAAACGATCTGTTGCCGGCCCTTGTCTTCTGTTGCCACAATAGTATTCATTATAGGGTGTATTGATTGTCGTTGTTAAATTTTATAGGTATTGTTAAAATACGAGAATGTAAAATGAAATTAGATTGCACTTGATAACCAATCGCAATTCTATGTAGTTGGGATTAAGAGAGATACTTATATTGTGAAGACTAGTGACATTTTATGGCTGCCCATGCCTCGGCGAGCCCGAATAGCTCAGTAGTGTAACGTCTCTGACTGCAGCACTGGGTGACACAGGTTCGAATCTCAGAAGGGATATGTGTTCTTTTAAGGTTGTGGATACGCCTTGCTGACTAAAGAGGTCCAACAAGCACGAAACCTAAGTTCAAGGCTTCCTGCTGATTACCTCCAACCATCATCTAAAATCAAGAGTCATTTGATAGGGTCCCAGTGGCCTAACGGTTTACGAGCTCGCCTTGTAACCAGAGGGTCTCGGATTCGAACCCTGACCGCGGGTGCATACTACCGAAGATTCACAAACCATGACGAAACAGCTGTCCAGTACTTGCAGGTTTTGTAATGGTCCTCTAACGGATGTCGGTTGATGGTGAAATCCTGGACTAAAAGCAGTTAGTAACTGTGTGTTGGTGGTACCGCCGTAGAATACTCGCCAAACACGCAGTTGGTTCGGGATTCGATCACCGGCCGCCGACTCATTCCTTTACCTCACTACACCAGTAGTAAGACAGGTAAAGATGGAAGGTATGGCATGAGGCTAGCAACCCCATCACGAAAAATAAACACCACTGCTACGGAAACCTCAAAACTCAAGTTGAAGCCTCCCTATGTTCCACTGGGAACGTAAAGGAATAAGAAATACCTCGGTAGGTGGGATGGGGTTCAAACCCGTCACCCGCTGAATTGGATATTAACAGCCTAAACTAATGAGCTACATATCCACTGATATAAGTATGTTTTGGGATTAAGGAGTTATCTGCAGAGTAGTAACACCAGTAATACCGGAAATTCAACCTCTCCACTTTTGAAAGAATAAGTTTAAAATGCAAGTTCTTTGAAAGAGGTCACATCCATTACTTATCTAAGAAGCACTATTTCAAACACAGCTGGCAGAACGGATTAAGATGTGAAAGCAAGTCAGCCAGAATCGAAAAGGCAAGATACACCTGCATCAATCTGAAGTCAGTATGTTAATCTTCTGCACTCAGCCAGTATAAGGAAAAAGATTTAGATTTTCAATACCAATGTTACGCCAGTCATCGCTTCTTTACGGGTCAGAAACTTGGCCAGCGCAGCGAATCACGGAGAGCATCTCCAACAGCCAGCTTCAGACTTCTATCAACAGCTGTCTCCACTAGTTGTATACTGAAATATATATATATATATATATATATATATATATATATATATATATATATATATATATATATACGACACCTTCCCTTATGTTCTGAGTGGAATATAGGGCTTCAAGCCTGAGAGTTTTGAAGTCTCAGTAATGCTGGTAATCATGCAATCATGGGGTCAAATAAAAAGGGGGTACAAAGAAGACAGCGAATTGAAGATGTGCTCCTGAGGCTCTATGTTCTCCTCGGAACCCAAGACAATAATTCTATTCATTGTATCAAAATATATTATCACATACGCAGGACACATGACACTCTCATGCACACGATATCTAAAAGATATCCTCATAGTCTGAGTAAATAGCTGTTTAGTGATCAACACATTTATTATTATTGTTTCCCTTAGTTCCTAGAAGAACACAGGACTTCAACCGAACGTCTTTATTGCGTTCGGTTCTTTGACAACGTTTTCACCTAGCTCCACGTCTGCCCACATGCTTTCATCTCCTCTTCACAAGACTCCCCCTCCCCATATCAACCTCGCACTAACGACCAACTCACTGCTTCCCAATCGGGTTCCACTTGAGAGAGAGGTCCTGACGTGTGATTTCACTTGAAGGTCTGTATTCTCAGAATATGGGGAATCCACCTCCATTTTTTCCAGCATATTTGTTGAACAACTGCTTCCTGCTGAGTTGGTTCGCTCATTGCCAGAGATCCCTGTTGCTGATCTTGGGCAGTATTGAGCAAAGAAGCTGTTGATGGTAGTCTGTAGTTTGTTCGAAGTGCTCTTCGTGACGCGGCGCCAAGTCACTGATCCGTATAGATGAACTGAATTGACATTAGTGGTGAAGATCCTGATCAGAATTCAAACCTAATTTCAGATTGATGAGCGACTGCCGAGTGTCTTGCTTCTCCAATTCTACCTTTGACATCCTCATCCATACCGCTTGTAGTTGAAACAATACTGTCCAAATAAGCAAAAGAGGTAACCTTCTTTAAACTTTAATCACCAAATCTTGGTTCCATCCAATCAATGCCAAACAAGTACAATCAAAACGATGCAAAACATCTATCTCGGATCTAAGTAGAATCACAATTAAAAATAACAGGGAGTTGGTAAGTTGTGCAAATACATTGAAATGATGTTAAAATAGTAAATTGGGTGAAGCTATAGGCATCATAGGCCAAAGTCAAGGTCTTACAAAGTTGACCTTCAAGGACTGATCAGACACACAGGGAATACTATGAAATATCATTCCAGATCAAATCGTGCCTGCCTATGAGGAGAGGATAGATACAGTATTCTACTTATTTACTAAGTACTTTTTCTGCAAGTCTATACTACTAGGTCAATCGATACCTAGTAGTGTTATGGCGTTTAAGATTACGGTTTAGGGTCTAGGGTTAAAGTTAGTATTTTGATTAGAGTTAGGAGTAGGTCGAAGAATAGTCTCAGAAATATATCGCACATGGTACGATTTCTCTATAGATCATCTGTGTATTGACTGGGTGACATTCGTACAACACATAAGCTACAACTGTACCGTGTAATATCATATTTGCAATATTTTCAGCGTATTTTTCAACGATTATGCGACGTTTTTGCATTTGAATTCTGATAGGTTGCCCAAGGGCACTCTGGTTTTGGCTATAACAGTTTAACTTTGCCGTATATTGTACTCAAGACATCAAAATTGTATCATTGTGCATTGCATATCATATAACACTATATGATATGTGCATCGGTGACACAGCGGTTAGGACGCTCACCAACCATGCACATGGTCTGGGGTTCAAACACCCGGCCTACGCACACCTGATATCAATGGTCGGCTTGATAAATTTTGGCTACCGATATCACTTGCTGAAAATTCTATACTCGTACCGAAATCCTATATGGAATCAAGCTATTATAAAGTTGAAATTCAAATTTCAATTCAGTTCCATTCTACTATAGTGCCCGTATACTCCTTTTACATTACATAATGTAACACACATCACATAATAATCACGAGAACAAAATTGACTACGCATATGCATTAATTAGCAAGTCCGAGTCAAACATTTTTGTTGCTTAGATTTCTATATAATCTCGGCGTGAAAATCGCTTTCACAGACAGTGGTATTTAACATACATTAGATGCTCACACATCTTTTAAAGTCATCTATAAAATGTGTCTGGGGCGTATCCTAAAGTTTTTGGAAGCCCTAGTTAGCCATTAGGAGGTTTAAACCACGTTTATGCCATCAAAGCAACAATTCGTCATTAAATTAAGCCTACCTTAGTACACTTTGTTTTGATACCGCAGCAGATGAACTATAGTGGTGGTGTAATACAGACAATTTGTGCAAACAAACGAGATGTTATTCTCCCATGTTCTCACAAATCAATTCGGAATTAATAATAGAATACAATATATCTCTTTGAACATTCTATTTGATGCTAGAGACAGAATACTTCCCCACAGTTCAATATTATGTATCATTGATATAAGAATAAAACCTGTGCACTGTGGTAGAGTATATATAATTCCATTGTTCTCGAAACGCCATCAGTAAATATTACGGTATAACACTGCGACTTTATCAAAATAGGTTTTACTCATAATAGAACACTATGTGTATTTGAACATTCTATTTCATAACGTTGACAATTGCTTAGTTATATAAAACTCTCATTTCTCTGGTGTTTCTGACCACGAAGTTTTGGAAATTATTGCAATCCGTTTACTTTCGAACACTAAACCTGTGGATATAACCTTGTTGACTAGTAATACCTATAACTAACTGTTTGGCACTCTGTGACTTTGTAACACTAACTCATATCTGTAATTGTATATATTGTTGGATTTACATGTTCAAGTTGGCCAAAGTCAGTGAGTCTATGGTTTTGGTGTCATTTTAGTTAACTGTGCTTAACTGTATTGTATGTTGTTGTATTGTATTGTTGTTGTCGCTTTTTGCCCTTTTTGCTGTGAATTATTTTCCTTTTGCTGGTGTTGTTCTGATCGTTTATTCCTTGTTTTCCAATTTTAAGGGGAGCAACCCACAAGGTCGCTTCTCTTTAAACTTCATCTTAACGTGACAATTCCTATATATATATATATATATATATATATATATATATATATATATATATATATATATATATATATATATATATATATATATATTTATAGTTAAACCTGATGAGATCTAATTGAAACCACAATATTGTTCGCTTAAATGTGTTGTTCTAAATTTTACTATGGGAATATTTAATATATTGAAATCTCGTGGGACCCCTATTGCATTTAAGGCACTCAATG